AGACATCACTGGTACTACAGTTTAAATCTCAGAAAAAACATTTTGAAGGACACAGAAGAGATTTTAAGAAAGTGGGCATAGAAATTACAATGTATATTGAATAATGTCACCACGTGCAACTTTTACACAGAGCATGTGTACACAGCAGGGTTGCGTGTCAACTCCCTCTGCAATAATGGGCTCATGAATGAGCTACCCCTCATGGGGTCAGTAAGAAGTAGGCTGAATTCATGTGTGTGTGTGTGTGTAACCACCACAGCAGTTGTTTTCCCAATAAACCTCTGTTCCGGGGACTTTTACTAGACCTGTGCTTTGCTGAGCTCTGCAAAACAGATTATAAGAACATGGTGGCACTGGCAGCAATAAGTGGAGTCTCTCCCTCTCTGAAAGATTCCAAGCTGTAGCCCATGGTTCTCTCTAAGCACCAGTACCAGATGCAGGCCTAACTAGCTCCAGTTCTGCTTTTTGATATCACCAGATAGGTGAAAGGGATGCAAGGGAGAGATAAGACATTTGCAAAGAAAGTTGCAATATTTGCAAAGTGTTTTTAAAAAGTTTCAGAGAAAGTAGTAGTCTGGCAAAAATCCTCTTCTGCAGAGTTGGAATCTGCATTGCTCATGGACTGCTGAGGAAATTGAATAAAGAGAAGAAAAAAGCACCTGTTTAAACAAAGGTGCAGAAGGAGAGAGAAAGCAAGACCCGGAATGAAGCCAACATCAACAGAGGGCACTTCTGGCACTGCACAAGGCACTGGTAAAATCCAAGTGCTGGGCTGAGTTTATGCATTCATTCTGGTCCTGTTAAACTGTACATGAAGCACAGAGCAGGCTGTCAGCAGCCTGCCTTGCTGGCAGATCTCCTTGGTGAGTTTGCTCTTAACCAAAAGAACTTGCAATGCTCACGTCTTTGCCTCACAGACAGGACTTGCCAAGTCTTCAGGGTTACTCTGGAACTTCATAGTTAAAATTTAAACATGCTTTCCGAATCCCTCCCTTTAAACTACCACAAATCCCAACCCTACTGCAGAGTCTGGAGAGCCTTTAGGGCTGTAGCCAAATTCTAACCCTCAAACCTCAACCATCTTCCAGACCTTCCACTCCTAAGCCTGCCTTTGCACTTAGCCATTCAGATTGTTACAGACAGCACTGGTGAGGGGCTGTGGAGATCTACCTGTCCATAGAGACATATCATTGTCAAGTTAGAAGATCTGTGATCATCAGCACTTAAATCGTGAGGTAAAGTTTATTGGTGTGATGGGTTACATTGGGAAAACAATTGATCAGTTTCTCTGTTTGTCAAACTCCCCCAAACCTTTGCTAGGAAGAGATTTATTGGAAAACTTGTTAAATTTAAAAATGGGGACATTGAAATCCTAATTCCTGAAACTGAATATGTAGAAGCAGCAGCTCCTCTTGTGCAGGAAGAAACTCCTGTTAGCAGCAACATCCCAACTGAAGTTGAAGACACAGTTGTTCCTATTGTGTGGGCCAGTGAAATTCCAGGGAAATTGAAAAGAATTACCCCTAAGCCAGGAGTTATATTGGTGAGGTATAAACAGCATCCTTTAAAATTAGAAAGCCAAGTTGGATTAGTTCCAATAATAGACAAATTTGCTAAGCATAGTTTGCTAGTAGAATGTGAATCCAAGTACCTATAAAGAAAGCAAATGGGAAAGATTATTGATTAATGCAAGACCTGAGAGAACTACCTGAAATAATAACCTAGAATAGTTTACAGGATTAGATTTAAAAGATGCCTTTTTCTGCATTCCCTTGAACAAGGAAAGCCCAAGAAATCTTTGGTTTTGAATGAGAAAATCTGGAAACTGGGAAGGAAGAAAAGAAGCCACCTGTTGCCTTCCTGAGCCACAAACAGTTCATGAGCTGCCTTCCTGGGAGTGGTAGGACAGTGTTGACTCTGGATTGCTAATTATGGACTTTTGGTAAGACCATTATATGAACTTTTAGAAGCAGCCTATAAGAATTTCCTCACTTGAACAGACTACGCAAGAGCAGCCTTTAAGCAGCTAAAGCATTCCCTGAGGAGAGCCCTGGCTCTGGGTCTGCCAGGTCTCTCAAAACCATTTGAACTGTTTGACTACGAGAGGCAGAATGTTGCCCTAGAAGTGCTTGCACAATTTTTAGAGGATCAGCGAAGAGCCACAGCCTACTCCAGCCGACGGAACTAAAGGATGTTCCTCTGGAAAATCCTGACAGAATTGTATACTGATGGAAGCAGCTTTGCTCGGGAGAGAAAACCAATGACAAGGTGTGCAGTGACCACCACAGACAAGGTAATCGAATCATGGACCTTCCCATCTATTGTCTCTGCTCAGAAAGCAGAACTAACTTCTCTTACAAGAGCTCTGGACTTAAGGCAAGGAAAAAGCGCAAATGTTTGGCATTGAAAACTTTCCCTGTAACTGGAAACCATTTCACTGACAAATCTGCAAAAGAGGCGGCAGAAAAAGGCATTCTGGCTTTAGTCCCAGAAAAGGAGGTAGTGTTACTTAAAATTATGATAAGAAAGTAGGACAAGAAAAAAAAATTGGGACTTCTGGTTAATTGAATAACTTTCAAGCTACAGGATGGGCTGTTATCCCTTTAGGGAACATGATAGTCCCACCTACAATTATAGAAAAATACTTAAAAGAACTGTATGAGTCACCAAAGCTAGAAACTTTCCTGGAAACTATTGGCAAATAGACTTTTCTGAGTTTCCTCAGAAAGAAGGCCTTTCAAGAGAAGTAGTGAAAGTTCTCTTAAAATACATTATTACCAGGTTCAGAATTCTTCAAGGAATGTCATCAGGTAGAGGATCACATTTTATCACAGCAGTGACACACAAGATAAATAAAATTTGTCAGAAAACCTCAATGACGTGGGTGCAGGCCCCACCTATCACGTTGCTGAGAATTTGAGTTCAGCCTAGAAGAAGAGACCATTTAAGCCCTTATGAACTAATGTATGCTTTAGGATCTACTAAACACCAGAGATTCGTGGTGACATCCCCACTGGTGGGATTGGATACCATTCCTGCCTGGCAACTGGGTCTATGTAAAGTCGTGAGACTCCAAGCCCCTACAAGTGAAGTGGAAAGGATCTTTCCTGGTTTTGTTGATCACATTTATAGCAGTTTAATTTGCAAAAAAGGGACCTTGGATACATTATTCTTGCGTTAAGAAAGACCCACTTGATTGGAAAGCCAAACAGACTAGACCCTTAATATTATCATCTGCATTTGTATATTAACTTGTATTATGATTCTATGCTGTAGCTGTTGTAGTCACTTATTGTTCAAAGTATGCTTTAAATAATGAGACATTGGCCTAATGGCCAAGGCTCAAGAAAAAGGGGGGGAATGGTAGCTGAGTTTTCAGATGAAACAAGAACTAGTCGTTTTTGCAGCAGCATGTACCAAAGAAACTACATATAGCTGAGCCAAGTGATTTAAAGGAACTAATCAAGCAAAGTAAAGAAACAATGAGGAAGGGAACTGAGGCAGCCAGCCAAGCAACACCAAGTTACTCTATAACCAGGTGTGTTGTCTTAAAGTTCATAAAGGTAGTCACTTACAACTCTGGGGGTTCCAGACAGAGAAGACCACTGAAGTCCCTCAATGAAGCTCCTCAGAGACCTTATAAGGATATGTATATATGCTAATAAGTGTTGGGAAATGTCATGAATATGTAACAGGAATGCAGGGAACAAAAAATGAAGACTCATGTAATGCTGACATATAAGCTGTAGCGAAGATGCCTCTGTGTGCACTTTGGCAAACTGATTCCCAGGGCAACCAGTCTCATGAAATCATTCCAGCGCGCCGTAATAAAGAGTGCCTGCCTGCTAAAACTTATAAATTGAGTCTTAGAGGTTTTTTTTAAGAGCCAATTTTAGGCAACTGGGGTGCCACCCCTGCCTGACAACTTGTGTTTGAATTGTCCTGCACCTCACAGGAGGTGCAGAAACTAAAATTCTCCCCTTCTTCTTTGTATGCTAAAAGGACAGAGCTAGTCCATGAGATACACAGCAGGGTAGATTTATATCCATGTAAAGTGCAGAATCAGCCAAGACCTTATTGCTCAGCTACCTTTGAGTGCAGTAAATGATGCTCAGTGGGATCAGTCTCCATGCTAGGAGTCCTCACCCTATACTGGTGGCTGCATAATGATGCTGGAGGGGAATCCAGTGCTGGAAGAAATGATTGCCAGTTAGGCGGTTCAGATACTGAGTTTGCTTCTGCTCACTTCTCTCAGGTAAACTGCAACACAGAATCCAAACACACACCACAGCACCCAGATTTGTGATTTGTATTTTACTTTCATTCTTTTTACAAGCAAGAAAATCCCTGGATTAAAACAATCAGAATTAATCAGACACTCCAAAGAATTCACCAGGTAATGGCTGTCAGGATGAGCAGCATAGGTTGGGCTGGAGTTAGTCCTGAAATCCAACTTGAGATGTGTCCCAGCACCAATATCCCAAGCCCACTGAGATGTCACTTTCCAGGTGATACCAGAAGCAATAATGCAGCAGCCCTGTTGCCCTCAGGTATCTTGCACTAGTTGGATCCCTGTGGGCTGAAACAGTGGACAGTAAGGAAGTAGACCAAGTCCCTGGAGAAATGAGAGCAGAAGAGAGGGTAACCCAGAGAGCAAGTAATGTGACCCAAATTATTAACTTTGGGATTAACAGCTAGGACACTCTCACTAAGGACTCTAAAGGAAAGGGTTTCTCTGGTTTGATCTAGTATCCTTGTTTTTTACCTCAGCCCCTCCCCAAAAAAAGGGACTCCTCATACCCAAACAGAGTAGGCTGAACTAGTACGATGAATTCTGCTTAGGGATTTTCACTTATAGTCCTAGATGAAGGGAACATCATCAGAGATGAATCAGAGATACACGGGACTCCAATGGGACAGAGAGGTAGCTGAGGTGTAGAGGAAACATCACAAGGCTGCTAGGTCTGTATCGGGGGCTGAGGAAGGAACTTGCACCTACCTCAGATGCAGAAGATATTATAATCAGCCAGGGCCTGCTCCTCTGCAACAGAACAGGAGAGGTCTGAGTTATCCTTGCACAGAGCCAAGTGCAAACACCCAGGCAGCCCTGGGACCCCATGGCTTCACACTGACCTGGGCTGTAGTAGTCATAGACTCTGACATGGCCTGGTTTCAGGTTGGTCACCTCAATCTCCTGCTCCAGATGCAGAATGTATGTGTCAAAGACATGGGTCAACTGGGGAACAAAAGCAAATGGCAGTTAATTTATGAGCTGCTCTTTTTATTCCTCACCTAAATTTGATCCCACTAGCTGATAGTAACAACTCTGTAGAGTCAAAGGCTGGGACACAAGATGAATCTTAAGCATCCTTCTTTGCTAGTCACAGTCTTAGATTTTCCCAACAACTCTGGCAGTGCCCTCCACTCCTGCAGCTTCCCTAGTAGCACACACATACCTTGTCCAAGTAGACGGCAACACCTCCTTGTGTTTTCTCAGTTCTTCTCACAGAGTGCCAATGCTGCAGCTAGGACAGGAGAGCAGAGGAAGCAATTTAGTTTTCTCTTTTGAAAGGTAAGCATGAGACATCCCAATAAAGTTTATCTGAGTTTGAGTAGGCAGATTCTCAATTTACTGACTTCCAAATTTTATTTGTACTCTTATCCCTTCAGGCTGATCTCCCTGCAGGGCTACTCAGCTCCTGCAAACCCTAAGGGTAGGAACCTAGGTTACTCAGCTATTAAGGATATGCTGAGCAAATTGGGCCAGAAGTATCACCATCCTCAAGACTCAAAGATAAGAGACAACAGTATTAAAGTTTGTTGTGTGGCAGAGGGGAAGTGATGGTGAGATTGCTCAAGAGAGGGACAGGCAACAAGTTCCTATGCAACCTTCCCATGCAAACTTCCCCTCTCCTTGGGCATGGATGGTCCCACTGACACCACATCACCATCCCAATTCCATGCTTCTTACAGACGTCCCAGATCCTGGAGCCAGGACAAATCCAGTCGGCAGTGACACCTCCAAAATCACCATGTTGGAAGTGGATTTCTTCCCATTGTACCTGGTGGCAAAGATTAAAAATAGAGTCTCTCCCAGCTTACCCTGCCCTCTACCACCATACCCTGTGTGCAGTACCCTGAGCCAGGTAGCTCAACCAGGACTGAGGCCAAGGCAGTCACTGCCTCCTCTCACAGGGTGCAGATGATAGTTGCACTGCTCTGAGCATCCCCAGTCTGAAGTCACTTCTTGTACTCCTCTCTCCAGAAAGAACCAAGGCCCTCAGTAACATTTCCCCATCCCCAGAGGCACTTGTGTCTTTATTCTCCATCTTCCTTCTGGCCCTTCTGCTGAAACTGCCTGGTGCCTCCACTGCAGCCAAGAAGCACCCCTCAGCTCTCCAGCCATGCCAGGCTTTCCTTCCCAAGCGGGGCAATATCTTTAGAGTCACCTGACATTGACAGAGACAGTAACAGAGCGTGCATTGTCATCGGTGCAATTGAGTGGCTCGGTTTTCACTTGCAAGGCAAAGGATGTTGAGTCTTGTGGGGAGGGCGTGTTGTACCTCAGCACCATCTGCAGGGAGAGACAAAAAGACAGACTAAGATACAGATAGTTCAATATCATCTGTCGCACCTTTTTTTTTTCACTGGCTACTCTAATCCTCAAGATTGGGCCCTGGATAGTGAGTGGATAAACCATATGCAGTAAGGACACTCAACCCAGTACCAAAAATAAAGGTCATTCAGATTGGAAACCTTCCATGATCCTTCCATGGGATCCTTCTCAACCTTTCAACTGAGACTGTGCACATAAAACACACAGTAGTGGGACCACTATACAACATTTTCATCCTCCAGTACTCTTGAGAGCCATAGAAGCATCTCTGTCCTCACATTTGGACAGGTTCTGTCTCTGTCTCCTCCAACATACAGGTTCATTGCATTGGCAACAGGTTGGGATTAAAGCACAGTTAATGCACATTTCCTTCCATAGAGGTGCAATCAAGAGTTCTGATTTTGATAAGATGATGAGAAGAGGGTGGTCACAGCAGGAACTGTGGTAACCTACCCGAGTAAAGACACAACAGCTGCCATGGGCCTGCACCAAGAACTCGCCCGGGACCTCTGTCAGTGCTGCCTCCTGCACCAAGAGCCGGTTCTGATAGGAGACTTGGAACTTCCTCCTAAAGCCTCCATGGGACCTCACCCTCACTTCTGCAACCCCTTGTGTGCTGTATGTCAGCGCTGCATACTTAGCCAAGGCCTGCAAGGCGACTACTGTGTCCTGAAAAGGAAAAAACAACAACAATTAGATTTGCAGCTCTGAGACCCAATGATGCTTGAACTCGGCATCCTGAGAACCTCCATATACAAAGGCTCCCCTCCTCAAAGCATTTGCTCTTGCATATATTTTGTGTATATTTTGCAGAGGTCTTTCCCAAACAACATCCCCCTCCCTGGCCACAAGTTACCTGTGTTGAGGCAAACCCTCCATAGGCATTCTGCTGCCTGGTGAGCCAGGCCACGATGCCAGAGGCTGTGGTGAGATCAGACCCAGTGATATTTTGCTTGGAGAGCAGGGCTAGGAGGATGTAAGCTGTCAGCTCCACATCCACAGACACTGGCTGTGACCAAGGGCTGGTGCTGTGTCTGTACTTGGATGATGTCTGACTCCAGTGGATCTGCCCATCTGGGAAAGGAAGGTAGTAGATGAGGGATGTCAGGAAAGAAATCCTTTGGCCTAGGCTCTTAGACACAGTGACTTGTGTCTGCTAAGACCATTGAGTAAATTCCTCTTAGCTGGATCATCACATCACCGGGTCAACTGTGTAAAACCTATGTATTTTGCAATACCAAACACTCCATATTCCACACCAAGATGATACACAAAAACCAATAAGCCAATAATCTGCATATGCATTACTTCCCAGACACCCAGCTTCTGAGCCAAGGGCTCAGAAAGGTCACCTGTCCCTTCTCTGATGTTCATCTGGCCCTGAGGTTCCCATACCTGCTCTGATTGCCTTTTGATCAAGCATGTCAAGTAGCTCTTGGGTGCGTTGAGAGTCCTTAGCCAGGGCAAAGGTGTAGGCCAGCAGGGCCTGGGTGTGAGTGCTGGCAGCTTTGGGGAGGGAAGGAAGGATACAGCCCAGAGCCTTGCGCACCACTGTGCTCTACAGAAAAGAGTTACACAGGTGTGGGTCACAGACAAACACCTGTGAGGCAGGCAAACGCTGAGACACAAACAGAAGGATGCATTATTAGCATATGCCAGCACAGAAAGTACCCCATACATTCACCCAGGTGACTCTGTGCTTAAGCCTGCACTCTTTGTATCAGTGCAGCACCAGGAAGCAGTGTCTCCAGCCCTCAGCGCAAGGTGGGTGGACAGACCACCCTCCTGAGCTGGTCTTGGGCTTCAGTGGTGCTCTCTCCATGAAATGAAGATCCTTACTGCTGGAATAACACCATCACATCTTACTTTCCAAGTCCAAACACAACAAAAGCGAAACCACACACCTGCAAATGCTTACACACAGCCTGATGACCAAAATGACTGTGTTTAATTTACCTTCACAGTGAACAATTTTCCTTATGGTGAAAAACAGGTGACCTGAAGGACACCTGTTGCCAGAAAGAAGGTTAATTTCCATCTGTCTTCCTTTTTTTTTTAAGCTCACTCTTTTCAGTTCCACTGAAAAGCATTGCTTTTTCACTTCCTTTTCTGATTTCCAGAGAACTTACCTTCTCAATGTCTACAGCAACTGCATTTCTCCATCAAGTTAATAATGTTTCTTTACTTGCCAGTACCACAGTCTAGTAATTAGCTACAATCCTTAGCAATCATAAGAGTTCCCTCTTACTGTTATTACTTCAACATGCAGTTCCAACTGCCCTACAGCACTCCTTTCCCAGACTTTTCTGTGAAGCTAAAATGTATCAGGAGTTACATTATGTCTGTTCACTTGACTCTGGGAGCAGCTCTACCCACCTCTCCTCAGAACAACTCACCATTAGCTCTCAGCTGTGTAGGGCTAACAAGAGGATGGGAGGAAGGGGGGGTGAGGGGAACAGGAATGAGCAGTAAAGCCTGGGAAATGGCCATAGTGTCTAGCCATGAAGTCCAATGGCCCCAGTAGTTTAATCTCACCTTCTCCCTGCCAGCAATGTCCTCCTCAAGGGATAGTTGAGGCTTTTTCCCAAGAAGTGGTAAGATCTTCCTTGCCCATCCTATTACTTTGTCCACAAATCTCTCCAAGATGCTCTGTTGCCTGTCCCAGTGATACCACTAAGCTCTTTAGGATTCAGATCTTAAGGCAAGAGCATGGCAAAGAATCCCAGTATTTACCTCTGGTGTTGCTCCTGCCTCCAAGTATGCAGCAGTGATGTAGGCAGTCAAGGGGACTTCCCCATCTACACCTCCCTAAAAAAAAGCATAAACATCAAAAAGGCTGTTAATACACAAAGACCTGAAGCTTTTCAGAACAGGTCCCACCTATCCCTGGTTTGCTCTCTCACAAGAAAGCAGAACAACACAGGAAAATGAACTTAAACAATTACCAGTACACTTGGCAAGAACTGCTTTGTGTTGTCCTTCAGGGTGCTCTGGCACCTACCTTCATGAATGTGTGAACAAGTTGGCCCACATTTCTGAAGCAACCGCTGGGAAGCTGGTGGAACTCCAGCCAGGTCAGAGCAGCTTCTATGGTCCTCTTGTCCAGGAAAATGTATGGCTTGGCTTGGACAAAGCATTTAACCACAAATGCAGTCAGCCTGATTGGGGAGAACAGAAAAAAAGGCTTGAGAGAGGGAAGAGAGAATCAGAAAGAAATGGAGTGCATGAAAAAGCAAGAAGAATGAGTGGAAAGAAAGAATCTAAGCAGAAGTTGAGAAAAAAGAAAAAAAGCAGGAGTTTGAAACTGGTAGGTCTCTCTTTACCCATTATTCTATTTTTAATATGCTGGTCCAAGTCAGTTCATCCCAAGAACAACTGCCTACCCCTGGGGTGCCCTAGCCACAAAACTTCTAGAACACTTTGGATCCAATAAGACAGCAAGCCCTGTTGGAAGCCTCCTGGCTGTCAGAGATCAGGTAGACAGCAGGGAGAGAGCCCAGGGCTTACCAAGTATTACCATACTCATCCTTGGTACCAAATTCACTGTAGGAGCCATCAGGGTGCTGATATTGCAGTTGTATCTGATACCCTGGAAAACAGGATGGGGCATTAGTGCTCAGAATGGTATTTGCAATCAAATCACTGTGAATGGAATGGGGTGTTTGAGTGCTTCAGATGGAAGGAGAGTAGGCATCTGAGACTACTGGACACAGGGGAAGGCAGAGGAGCAAGGTGGGTCTCTTGTACTTGCCATTGCGCAGGAATCTTGTTGCCCTCTCTCTGATCTCAGGAGTCAGCTGCCTGGTCTTCTCCAGGTACTGCAGCATATAGACAATAGGGGCAAACAGCACCATGTTCTGCTCCCCACAGCCATGGGGCATCTGCACCAGGTTGTCCAGGTTCTGCAGTGCTGTCCCCATGAGGTCCCCTGAAACAAAACATAAGCACTCTGATCACCTCCTGGGCAGTAGGCTTTGGGATTCACCTCCTCCCACCTGTGACCTGCTCCCAGCAGTGCACCAAACAAGATAGCCCAAGCACAGCAATGTGGGGGCACCCCTAGTTATCACTGATAACTGGTAGCCAGCTTATCAATTCCACTGTGCCTGCCCTTCATGTGGACTGTACACATTCCCATCCTGGCAGGGCAAGCTCATTAACAGAACACTCTCTCCCATGCTAAGTGTTTTAGATTGTCAATAGTTAGGAAATGCAGCCACACACATGGGAAGAACAAAGCAGTGGAGCCTTGGAAACCTCAGAAAGGAGGTGTGTGGGAGCCTGGGTTTGGGCCTTCCTAGGGCTAAACTCAGAGATATGGGACTCATAGCTGAATTCCTTACCAGTGACTAAGATGGTGGCTCTGACTGAACCTTCAACCACATTTAGAGGCAACATCAGTGACACAGACTCCTGTGCTGGATTCCCTAACACCAGTTGGATAAGGTGTGGAGAAGACAAAAAGAAAGAGATTGTGAAGAAAACAGCGTTCAAAATACACAGAAAGTGTTCAAGGCTATTCTGTGTTAACTTCCCATTTTCCTGTCACAGAGGCTGCAAAACACCTCAAAAAATCCCTGTCCCATTCCACCCCCAACTTCTTCCATCCACCTCATGGTGACTGTGCTGTCTTAACAGCCCTCTTTATAGAGAGGTTGAGAGGATTTTCTCCTGGAAACTCTCAGTGGTCAAAGCCACCTGTTTTTCTCTACAGAAGTTACTCCATCTTGTTTTAGATTTCAGTTGCAGGCTTGTCATCTCAATGCACCTCGTGCTCTCAAAATTAGCTGATGGCCCCATCATACACCATAAAATTCAGGACAGGAACAGCAAGCCTAAGCCATGTCCTCCAGTGTCACCATATTCAGTAGTCTGGTTTTATTTCCCACAGGTGAAAAAGGCCTCAAGCTGCCACATTAGTGTCAGGGGTGTTGATGCTAAAAGACTGGACCTCCCCACATCCTTGCCTAGAGGAAAGCTCTAGCTGGCACTGCAAATAAAGTATGCTTCTGTAGCTTTGTCAAGTGGACAGAGAAAATATTTCAACAAGTGGAAATATCCAGGACCTGTTTAGGCAGGAAGAGGGGGATAAGCAGGGTGAAAGAAGAAAACAATCCTTCTACCTTTTTTGGGACACAGGATGGAGCTGTGAGCCTTTTCTACCAAAACTCCCTCTGGCTGTTGGAGCACAGAAAAGCAGCATTTTAATGAGCACACAGGAGAAAAACAGGATTACAAGGGGATTAGAAGTAGATATGGACAAAATCCTGGTTCAGACTGGACAGTCAGAGGGAATATCATTATTACCACACAAAAATGCAAATTACTGTCAAACATTTTCACTTCATATTAGAAACTTCATATTAGAATTAGCACATATTTTCAGAATATTTTCACTTCTGAATGTCTGCAAAACTGATGCTGTGAGATTCAGCAGAGAACTCAGGAGCAAGGACATAAAAGAGTGTTTAAAGTTTTCCATGGTACGAAGTAGATGACACCCCTCTACCTCCTACACCCATCAGCCCTCACGGATGGGCCCAGCTCAGGGCCTGAGATGCTAATTACACATTTTGAATAGCAAGGGGTAACTCCCAAAACACGTACAAAATGTGGGTATTGCACGAAGCTCATTTTTAGGTTTAGCTAACAGAACAGCTTCACTGACCCGGACTTGAATGAGTTTGACAATTGTGTCTTTCTGTCCTTCTTTTGGGACAAATGGTATCTCTTCACCACAGAGCTCTTTGGTGGCCACAGCCTCTGTGTGGAGGGTGATGTTCATGATCCCTGAAAATAACACACATGTAGGTACATAAAACATCTTCTGAGGAAGCACTTCCTATTAATACAACAGACATCACCTGTTGACAACAAAAAATTTGATCAGAGCCCTATATGGTTCTGTACCTCCTAGCACAGACTTGCAAGTAATCAGGACCTTAGGATGAATGCAAACAAGTACTCTCTGGGTAACAAAGCAACCAGCTTCTCACTCTATGTCAGCTTTTACAAAACATTGTAAAAACCACCTTGGTTTCATCCCTTCCCAATTTCACCACCCCACCTTCCTGTTCTTCTCACCCAGTTGGTCAGCTGTGACACTCCACTGAAAGGTCTTGGCTTCACCGGCACACAAGCAGCTGCTGTAGACACAGCCCTTGCATGGCTTCAGCTGGAAGTGTGCAAACTCCTCCAGGGTCATTTGGATCTGGAGGGGCAGCAGGGATGGTAGATGGTAATAAACAAATATCACAAACACAAAAAGGAAGCCTAACGGGTAGAAGCAGGGACAGGTAGCCTGGGAGGAATACAGAGAGATTGTTTAAGTAGCCGGGGATCAGGCTAGGAAAGCTAAAGTCCTGGTAACCTGGACAGGGATGCCAAGAGTAACAAGAAAAGCTTTTATAGGTATGGTAGTGATAAAAAGAAGACTAGGGGAAATGTAGACCCTTTCCAGAAGGAAACAGCAGACCTGGTTACCAGGGACATGGAGAAGGCTGAAGCACTCAACAAGTTCTTTGCCTCTGTCTTAACCAACAAGTGTTCCAGCCATACTGCTCTAGTCACAGAAGGCAAAGGCAGGGACCAGGAGAATGAAGAACCACTCGCTGTAGGAGACAATCAAACTCAAGACCATCTCAGGAAACCGAGGGTGCACAAGTCCATCGGACCTGATGAGATACATCCACAGGTCCTGAGGGAACTGGTGGAGGAAGTGGCTAAACCACTATCCATCATATCTGACAACCCATGGCAATCCAGTGAAGTTCCCTCTGCTGGAAAAGGGAAATCATAACCCCTGTTTTTAAAAAGGGAAATAAGGAAGGGACCTTATTCATTAAAAAGGGAAATTAGGAAGGGACAGGCCTGAGAGGTGGGCCTCTGTGAACCCCATGAAGTTCAACAAGGCCAAGTGTGAGGTCCTCCACCTGGGTTGGGACAATCCCAAGCACAAACACAGGCTGAGTGGAGAATTAATTCTCAGAGCAGCTCTGAGGAGAAGGACTTGGGGGTGCTCATAGACAAGAAGCTTGACATGACCCATCAATGTGTGCTGGCAGCCCAGAAAGTCAGCTGTGTCCAGGCATGGCCAACAGGTCAAGGAAGGGGATTCTCCCCCTCTCCTCTGGTGAGACCCCATCTGGAGTTCTGTGTCCAGCTCTGAGGACCTCAACGTAAGAAGGATGTGGACCTGTTGGAGCGAGTTCAGAGGAGGCCATGAAGATAATCAGGGAGCTGAAGCATCTCTGCTATGGGGACACACTGAGAGAGTTGGGGGTGTTCAGCCTGGAGAACAGAAAGCTCCAGGGAAATCTTAGAGTCCCTTTCAGCACCTTAAAGGGCTAAAAGAGAGCTTGGAGAGGGACTTTTTACAAGGGCATGCAGTGATAGGGTAAGGGGTAATGGCTTTAACCTGAAATAGGGTAGGGTTAGACTAGATATTAGAAAGAAATTATTTACTGTGAGGGTGGTGGGACACTGGAACAGGTTTCCCAGAGAAGCTGTGGATGCCCCATCCCTGGAAGTATTCAAGGCCAGGTTGGATGGGGCCTTGAGCAGCCTGGTCTAGTGGAAGGTGTTTTTGCCCATGGCAGGGGAGTTGGAACTAGATGATCTTTAAGGTCCCCAAATCATTCCATGATTCTATGATCACAGGCCATGGATTTCAGCCATCTCCCGCTTTTCTCACAGAGCCTATCAGGGCTCACCTACCTTCATGCATTGCTGCAAGTTGTTGAAGACTGTGGCCTTCAAGTTGAAGGTCTCACCCTGGACCACAGAAGATGGCAGTGGCAGCTTCACAAGAAAGGGCTTGAAAACAAGCAGACTGGAGGCTGAAGCAAATCCAAAGCCATTATGTCCTGTGCAGAACATTCCTGCTTTCCATTCAGTGATGGTGTCAGGCACAGTGACAGTGACATTCTTGTTCCCACTGGGACTGAGGAGAAAGAGACACCAACAGAAGCATTTAACTGAATGTTGTTGTACACCACACCCGGTGACCTGGTCTGTGTCCTTCTCTCCAGTGTATCCCATTCCCTGAGCCCTATTGAACTTGCAGCCCTTGTAGGGTTACAAGTAAGGCCTTGCAGAAGTTGGGACCCCTGCATCAGAGGCTTACATCAACAGAACATTTTTGTCAATAGGTTACATGGCTGCAAGATGCCATCAATCACATCAGACAGTGCTTGCCCTTTGCACATCGAAAAATGGTTTAGAGATGTCAGCAATTTCATCCTTCTTGGACTAGAGATGGAGAACCAGACACCAGAAGAGCAACATGACCAACATCAGTAGTGCTTAGCAGAAGACACAGATCCTGCCATTCACTGTCCTGTGAGACACTGACAGCTTAAAGCCCAACATGAAGACAGGGCAGAGGCTTGCCCTGTGCCCACATCACAGCTTTTTGTTCTGTGGCTGCTACCATGGCAGACATAAAACCAGCCCTACCTAAAGCCAGTGATACTATTTTACTCCAGTAACTGGAGTCAAAACATTCACTTTTGCCATGAACATAAAAGGCAACACACACAACATAGAGACATTTTGCTGGCTCAGATCAGGTTGGTGGACAAACCACATAGGAGATATCTGCTGCTAGGGGGTGAAGAGATGGTTGTATCTGGAAGGACAGTGGAGGTTGGAGAGGGCAGATGTGGGGGCATCTGGCCTGAGCCTACTCCAGTCTCCAAACAGTAGACAAGAAAATTTTGAAGTCTGAGATGAAAAATCTCCCAAAGCTCCCTCAGTAGACTCTGTGTGTACACTGACCCTTTCTCACAGGACACAATTCCCAGTCCTGTGAAGGACTTCTATGGACATCAGTTTCCCCTGAATACCAGGATACAACTTGTGAGCACAGTCTGGGAAATGCTAGCCCACAGGGCTACCACAAGCAGAGTGAGGCAGTAAACCAAGTTGTTCTGCTGCACTTCACCTGCTTTTCTATCTTCCCATGCCAGCCATTTGCCATCGATGGACGACATTTCTGTATGATTGTCTGGTAGAGGAAAATGCATTTAATACAGACATCAGCTCCAATAAGAAACAGCCTGACAAGTATGATCCCCACAACGTATGTCCTTAGGTGTCTTGCACAGCTGCCTATGATCTAAACTCAGCTGCATCTGCTGCCACTCCCAGCCACACTAAATGACCCAGACTAAACCCCTACTGTTCAGTTTACTCACCCCACAGAATACAAATCCCATAGCCAGGTCTGGGGAAAAGGCTTGTGTACTTTCTCTTCAGCTGAAGAAATAGGTGGAAACATAATGGGCTGATAGGTTGATGTCAGATGTTCTGATGGAAATAACAAAGACCTAGTCACCACAGTGTCCTCAGGTCCTGGATAAGAGCAGAAGAGTTCCAGCACAGTGCAGGCTGTAGCTAATCCAGTCAGCTCTCTGAAAGCACGGCATCAGAACAGAAGGTTCTGTCCCAAATTTTAAAATATCTTGCCTCATTTCAAATGACAGAGGTGCTTTGGGCTTTACTTGCATGTATGGGCACTATGGGACATGAACCATTCCCTCACCTCAGAGATAGGACCTGGTATTCAGACAGATCTCTAATATTTCAGAAGCTGTGAGCCTCAGGCAGCCTCACACTATCACAACAGGTTTAGGGCCAGGGAACACTCTTTCTCCTCCATTTGCAATTACAGGATTGGCTCAAACCCAGGACTGCTTTCACCTGAAAGACTAACTAAGCATCCTGTGTAAGAAGAAACAGTTGGCAAATGCTTACTATTATATGCTTTATGGGGCTGGGCAAACATCAGCATGGGCCTAGAAATAAACACTCCTGTTTCCTGCAGCTTAGTTGTCAGTGATGTGGTTGGACACACTCTGGGTTTCCTGATATTGGTGTTGGACATAATTTTCAACCCCATTTCCTGTGGGAAAAAGAAAGAACTGAATCACCAGAAGTTTGTCCTCTCCTCAGTGCCCTCTGCCCTGTGCCTTCCTGTCCCCTCACGCAGTGGGGGTTGCACTCTGGCTTGGCAAAGTATTCCCTTGCTTCATTTTAAGAGGGAATAATTCAGATTCTCAGCAATGGGCAAAAAAGGTCTTCTGAGCTAATTCATCTGGCCTGAGTCAGCCAAATTTATTCCTTTTCAAACACATGGTCATTTAGATATCATGCCTTCTCAGCCTGCAAGGTGCAATTGCTCATGCTGTGGAGATTTAAACAAACTATATGAAATCCAGTTAAAGTAATCAATAACCCTTGGCATCTTGAGTCACATAACCAAAGTGTGGTAACCACACAAAATTTTTTCCTGAGTCAACATTTCAAGTCACTTATTCAAATAACAAGTGAGTTACAAGGGCCTAAACTGCACCTGGTTCCCTGTGCTGTCTATAACAGCATCCCCAGGATACTGGTAAAATCAGGGGGCTACACTCCCCTCAGTTCATAAATTATCTCAACCCGCCAAATCAACCACTTTTACCCTGAATGCTGTAAACACATCAGGCTCATCAGCATTTGGGAACCCACATGAATGATCATCTTCAGATACTTGGTGAGGATACCTGGAGTTATAAACAGATGGGAACAACCCATAGATCTGAGAAAGCAAGAAAAAGCAGAAAATAAAATCAGCACAAATTAAACCTGCCATTCTCTTCCTGTCATACATCCGAAGCCTGTTTGAACTGCTTCTGGCTACTGTGCATGAACACGTGCCAGAAAGCCCAGGCCCGCTGTCACTCTTCCCAGGCTCTCTTCTGACATTGCCAGCACAGCCCACTGAACTGAACACAAGATAGAACAACAGAAGCTGTCTTACCACTGGTGCCCTGAGTGATGCTCAACCTCTTTCTTAACCCCTAATCCCTAGCCATGACATGCTGACAGTGCTGCTGATCCCTCTGGGCCGTGCTTTGATTTTCTTGGAGATAAGCTCTGCACAGATGCAATGGCCTCCCTCCCTCTTCATGTCATTATGAGGGAAGGGAAGAAGTCAGAGCAGGCTCACTCACCAAGTGGCTGCTGAATTCTCTTCCTGGCTTAATCAAAAGGGTGCTTCGATCCACAGCCCAGACAGCACACATGGATCCAGGAGCTGCCAGCAGGTGGAGACCAACCTGTGAACCAGGAAGAGTCTCTGGCTTTGAGAAACCGAGCTCCACCTGGATGGGAAGAATGCAAGCAATACCTGAATGATATTTCTGATGCTGGCCACCCTACCACTTCCCAAGCAGCAAAGGGACCTACATGAAGAGAGTTTCCAAAAACTTGCCTTGGACAGAAATCCAAGGAACCTCCCAGGAACCCCCAGAAGGTATCTAAAAAACATCACGCTGAGGTTCTAATAGGACAGACAGCACAGGGGGAGCCATCAGTGTCTGCATGGAGATATTCCCGTGGAGTCAGAACATGGTGCTCTCTTTATCCAGCAAACCAGCCAGCCATGATAACACACCTCACACAGCTGTTTTCTGGAGCCCTTTCCTCTGGAGCCTCAGATCAAAAATAAACCTAGTCCTTATTCCCAAGCTCTTTGTGGGGTTGTTCTCAGTTTTCTGAAGTTCTTCCTGTTCTTGCTTGAATCTGACTGTCTACAGCAGACAAACAGCTGTGGAGCTGCGGAGCAGGGGTAATGCCAGTCCTCAGAAGTTCATCTTTGGAGTACAAGACAGCCAAGAAAGCAGATTCCCATGGATGTCAAAACAACCACAAGCACTCGGCGTTTTCAGGATGGCCAGAATCTTCCATCATCCACTTTCAGATGTCATCCCAACACCATATACTAACAATTCTAAGTGCCTACTGCAGCAGCAGAGCAGCCCTGAGCTCTCCTGGGAATCACACTAATGACCTGTGCTGTGCTGGGCTATGATCCTACTAGGCTGCAGTTCCTATACATGCCTATGGAGACAGACAGCAATTCCCTACCTTTCCCAAACATTGTGGCAGCCCCCACAATGCTCAGCACACACTTGCTCCGTACATCACAGTACACCTCACCATCCACATGACAACTTCCCACACGGTATCAGCCACACACAGCTACACAGTCTCTCCTTTCATTGCAACAGACACATACACTACAACATATTTAGTCATCGCCTCAGACACAAATCCTACCTTATTTCTGAAACACATGGAGACACTGAAGGTGGCAGAATCAGCAATGATTTTTCCATTAGGGAAGATAACATAAACAACTAGTCTCGGAGCTGGGGCATAGGTCAAGCTGAAGGTAAGAGGGATGGAGAAGAAGCCTTCCAGCACTAGATGGAGAAGGAGAGAATAAGAGAAAGTAGATTTGGTAGTGAAAATAGACTCTGATCAGCTTTTGTCATTCTGCATGTGCCTGTTTAATTCCTTTCTTCAAGTATTTCATGATGGAGGAGATTTTTGGAGACCACTGAAACAATCAGCACATCTCTGAATCTGGCATTCAAGACTAGCAAAAGACTCTTCCTGGTTCTGTTCATCGCCTCAAGGACATGAAAAGGTACTTTGGAGTTCAAGCTTGGTTCCACAAAGAAAGTGTCAGATTTCTTTCAAAGTCTCCCATCACCAAACATCTCCCATCCTGTAACCAAAGAAGAGGTGACCTTTGTCCCAAAGCACCTATAATTCAGATTGGAAAAAATAAGAGCTGAAGAAGTAAGCAACAGTGGGTCAACACCCATCAAAATTATAAATTGTGGCATCCTAACTACTCAGATTATTTGTAGACCCAATTTCTGTGGAGGGTAAGGCTATAGTTTCATGCCACGTGCAGGAGTAGCAAAAGGAGACTTTGAAAATGAAGACAACAGAGGATGAGCCTATGGGCTGGGAAATGCTGAGCATTCTTCTCTTGGTTCAAAGCGGGAGGGTAAAGGAAACAAGAAAACTGGAAAAGCACGTTGCTCTGATACAACAGAGAAGTAGTGAGCCACCTCCACACCACAAAGAGGCTTACACCACAGGAGTGGATGCCACAGACCACTGAGTGCTTGCTAAACATGAAACTGAGGAATGCACTTACTTCTTGGAAGCCCAACCCAAATAGTCTTCTGACCTGCATGGACTATCCCTCCTTTTCCTGTGACCTAGGGAAGAATACAGAAGGGGACAGTCACATAGTTACAGAGTCTTTGAGATCACTGTGAAGCTCAAAGTAACCCTGAAATTGGAGATTAGGTGGAGGTGGGGAAAGAGATATTACCTTTATTTGCTCTTGGCTAGTAAGGAGAGTTCAGGGGATGAAGAGACTCGAGGGAGGACAGGTAATTTCAACACCTGCCCTGCACCTGTGCAGAGCCTAAAAGAAAGATTCCGCCTTCCTTGCTATTACTGCAGTCCCAGAATCGAAGCCTGGATCCAGCCCCATGATGACTGGATGAGCTACCTGTCCTGGGTAGCTCAATAGCCAAATCTATCAAATATCAGGCTTGAATCTCTAAGAGCCGCTGATCTTGTGCTCTCAGCTGTCACCCACTAGCACTTCCCCAGAAACTCACAAAGTAGGAGAAAATGACACGCTTGGGCCCATGTTCCAGGTCTTCCTCATAAATTCTGAAGTCCACCTGGACAGACTGCTTTTTGCCACAGGGCATTGTTTCCGGCACACGGACAATAGAGAGGAAACTCCTGCTGGTGCTGTAGAATGGACGTATGAAATAAGAGGCTCGCTGGTAACTCAAATCAATTGTCCCAGGCTCTCTATCCAAATCTTGATGCAGGACACTTGCCTGGTGAGACAAAAAACTTGAACAAGTTAATTTCCCTAGTTAAGTAAGTTAGCTGCAAATCACCATAGCTGCACCTCGGTAAGATGATCTGAGCAACACCAAAGCACAGGTCTCTGTGTGGAGATCTCAAGAGAAAAGCAACTGGGACCTGGAGAATAAGCTCTCAGAGGAAGCCAAGATCCAGAACAAGCTGAGGTGTTTCAGGAACTACTGTCCTTCCCCTGCCACAAGACAGAGTCTTCCTCACTTACCTCCAGGGAGACCAAGGTGCTATTCCAAGCAGTTGTGTCCAGGCTAAATGAAGCTGTCCCAGAGTCTCCAGTAATGTACTTCTCCTTAAATTGCCGCTCACCGCTGTTTAGTACAAGGAGGACTTCTTTGTGCTTCAATGCCTTGCCTCGGTAGTCAAGGACTTTAATCTGAGAACATCGTGGTGAACAAGAGAAGTGCAGAAAAGTCTAATCAGCAGACAGAATCTCCTGCTTCTCCAAGTCAGGAGGAGCATTTCCAAAGCCAGTAAGATCACCCTTTCAGTCACTAATAAGATTATCAACACTGCTACTGGTCATGTCACATTATCACTTGTGGTACCATGTTCATTCACAGAATCACAGAATCACAGAATAGGTAAGGTTGGAAGGGACCACAGTGGGTCATCTGGTCCAGCCCTGATGCTCTCCATTCCTTCACAGAAAAAGGCTTCCTGGCTGCTGAGATTCCAAATGTTTGGGTTTGGACTCCACATATGGATGCCCATAGCTGCTGCTACTCATGGCTTATTTGGCAAATGTCAGTCTTGGGTGTTATTCTCACATTTGACAATTCAAGAGTTTTGTCTCTGGCTCAAACCCCTGGCTGAAGGCGAGGTCAGAAAAGACAATAGACAACAGTCACTATGAAAGCATTGTTCACATTCTCTCCTTCAAAGGACTGTAACTGTGAATTACCTTCCCCCTGTACATCTCTCCAGTGTGGTAGTAAGAATTCACATCATCAAACAAGGCCATCCCACCAATCCTGGAGATGAGTAATTTGCGGGAAGCATTGACTTGTATCTCTGAATGAAAGCAGCAAAACAGAAACATAAGAGAAGGAGCAAGAAAGCCAAGCACCCCTCAGCCATTTCCCTGCAGAGTGACCCACTGGTAGTACTAATGGACATGCTGAGCTGCACACACATTTCATATCATGATGGTGACTGCCCACAACTCTGGATATCTAGTCTTCCTCTCACTTAACTTCTAGCCCTTAGAGAGCTTCACCACTTCAGACTGCAGGGACTCAGAATGAGTGTGTCATCCCATCAGGAATTGCTGGCTCTGTATCTGTGAGGTTTGATAGCAGGCCCTAATGGGCTCAGAAAGCTCAGATCTCTGGCTAGCCTGAAAGTCTTCAAAAGCGCTTTTGGTAAGATTAGTGCAACTTCCCAGCCACCAGAAACATTTCCAGAATTACCTGTGGCATCCTCCACCAGCGAGGCCTCTGCAACTATGCTGTCCTGATAATACCGAAAGTCTCGACTGAAGGAGGACAGACTCACATTTGTGAAGAAGCAACCTGCCTCATCTGTCTGAAAGTACAGAGAGAGGAAACAAGTTTGAGCAAGGCAGAAGGCTATAAATTATCAAAATGGTGCAGAAACAGCATTGCAAAACCCCTGCTCTCAGGGGTGTGTGGCACAGCAGTCCAGGATGTGGAGCAGGCACAATGCAAGCCCACTCATAATCATCAGGCACAGTTATTGAGAAGCAGCACAGTAGAATACTGAGCAAGCAGCTAAAGAAATTGGGTAACATCACTATTACTTCAGCAAAAGCTTTCAGCAGCCTTGCCTTACTAGCACAAAAGTCTCTGAATAAGGCTCATCTCTTCCTGAGCATCTCACCTGGTTGTTGAATTTGTGGCAGAGATCGGGTTTTGAAGCACTGGGTAGGAACGGGGCTATCTTCTGACAAAGGTTCACATGAACTATTCCCTGGATGCTTTTCCCATGGGTGTATCTGTTTGGGGAAGCAGGGAAAGGAAGAGACAGTCATACACAGTGGGAGAACACAGGGCTTGCTTTGTGTAGCCCCAGAGACCACTTACTCACAGATATTCACAATACAGCTCGAGAGTGGCAGTCATGTAACAGGCCCAGGAGTCCTGACCCAGTAAAGCAGGGTCAGTCTAGGGCACTGCAGTGATGGGAGATCAAGGGCTCTGTGATATAATTAGTGCTAAATTAATCTATTCTGGGAAACTAGAATGTTGTAGGTGCTGACTCAGCACAGAGCTCTGCACTATACATCAGCAACACCTGCAATAACCCCAGGATATGCTGAAGGCATGCATCATCTTACAGGCAGAAACGTGTGTGATTAAGCAAGTGCCTTTCATTAAGAAAGCATCTTTATATGAGGCTAGCTCTAGTCTTGGACTGTATCTGGGGCAATTCGTTTTCGAATTTCTCTAGTTTCCACTAGAGCATAATCTGGAAAAGCTTTCCTTCATTTCCTATGGGTTTGTTCTGCAGATGAACACCAAGTATCTACTATGCATCTGCAAAAAAAACTAAAAAATGGCTGCTTGTCAAAGGGTAGGTTGTTCCCCCAGATTTTGTGTGTAGAGACCTGTGGAATGTTTTTAGAAAAGGGACATTAGAGTATTAGAATAATAGTTATAGGAACTTTTTGTGTTGCATCAGGGTGTAAACAGTGGTCATGGAAGATTCTGGCCTCCTGTAACTGAAGTGCTCATCGGGCCAGGAATTAACACAGGGAGAACCCTCCAGTGAGAATCCTCACCTGCCACATATCCGGAGTGGGAAGGTTGTATCTAGGGCATAAATCTGATTTGGTGCCTCAAAGATCACTTCGAATTTTGGCAGCACTGGAAGGAAAAAACAGAGAACTGTAGGAAACACAGGCCAGGGACAGCCTTCACAGAGAATTAACATGAAGACAGACTATGGTAGAATAAGAGACAGGAAATGAAGAAGGAAGATGGTGAGAAACAGAAAGGGAATATTTCTGTCGTGTCTTTAAAAGATTTGTATATAGGCTCTGGTTGATTGCTCCTTTCCAAAGTAAAACCAAACATATCCATGAACCTGCACTTCTGACAGCTATTTGCAGTGAGAGGAAACTAGTCTCCCAACACAGTTGATTAGGGAATGAAAGTGAAGTTAGATGGCACTGGACTTCATACTCTCTGGCAAAGCCTATCCTAAATTATCTTGCTTTGTCTAAGATCTGCAGGAATAAGCTGTGTCAAAGGTCTGGGGTCATGCATAACATTCCTCCCACACACTGACCCAAGGTCCCAAAGTGGTCTCTCCTCTGAGCCTCAGCTCAACTCTTTTCTGTGACAGATGCTACTATTTGTCCCATTTGCTCCCAGGATGGTTATCAAGGAATAAACACCCAGCTTCCTAGATCAAGAGTACGAGGTCCCCCCTGCAGCTCAGACAAACCCCCACATGCTCATACCATACTCCTTAACAGAGAAGCTGCCAAATGCTTTTGCGCTGTTTACGTTGATGACGTATGTTCCCAGCAGAGGCTCATCACTCAGCTGGAAAGACAGATCTGCAATGCCATCTTGAGGGACCACATTCAGCCACTGCTCTATCTGGTTGCTCTTAGGGTCCTACACCCACAAGAAAGATAGAAACAGTTGTTTCTCACTGGTCCACATCCTATAGAAATTGAGCTTTAGGATTTCAGTCCCGTAGACTACCAGGTTCTACAGCTAAGGAATGAGGTTTGATATAGACTAATCATGAAATTTTGAAGATACTCTAATGCCTAGGTTCTGCTCCCAGTATCTGAGTCTCTTTCTACATTTATTTAAATTCCAATCTTAAGGAAAGATTTTTCACAGTTCCAACTTTCTTACATAAACATCTAAGTTATCTGTCTATATACTCCCACAAGTCTAGAACAACTGAGCTTTCCACTGAAGTAACTGGGAGCATAACCTCAAATAAGTGCATAAAAAAGAAGCTGAAGGAGTATGTTAGTTTAAGAATTTAATATCTAACAACAAAAAAGGTCTACTATTCCATTCAGAGGTCTGTAAAACTACCAGAAACTGAATATGAATAGCCCAGTGAAATGACTGCCATCATCATTACTCTAACACTGGATTTCAGCATCACTCACCTGGAGAAACAAAGAAATCTGGGGAGGGAAAAAGACAAAAATATTAGAAGGGAGAAATACATGCCAGCATCACACACAAGGCACTTCAGATGCAGAGCCCTCTCTGAAGGATGTACAACTAGTGATTTGGAAATTTAGAGCCCTGACAACAATACAAAGTAAAACAAATGCCACCAAAAAGGAGAAATACCAGGTGGGTTCCTTACTGTAAGGTCTGAAGAAAGGGAAAGGAAAAACCAATCTGGAGACCACCCAGCACTCGCTAATGACTTCCTGGCAGAAAAACTCAGGAAAAGTCACTACCCAAACAGACCTAGCTCTGGTGCACCTGCAGTCTCACGGGAGTTACAGAGGTATAGGATCACAGAGTTCAGAAGGAAACTCTGGAGGTCATCTAGTCTAACACCCTGTTGAAGCATGTCTTTGTGCCTATAGCCTTCTCTAGCTGGGTTCTGCATATCTCCAATGATGAAAATGCCTTCTCTGGACACATTTCCATATTTTTGCAATGAAAAAGCTTGTCCTAATGTCTAGTCAGCATTTCCCATGTTCCAGCTTGTAGGGGCCAGATTAAGAGCACCCTTCCCCACAACAAGGAAAACCCACCTTACAAACTATTCACTCCCCACCTGACACCACCACATCAGGAATTAGTATGTCACATGCTTGTGCTTGCATGACTATTCTACCAAGATGAGCAAGAGACATGTACACCTCTGCCATCTTCCTGAGTTACCAGCTTTTATTTGAGTTACTAATCCCCCCTGGACACCCATGAGGCCTGGCCCAGGGATGAATGTGGAAGAGCTGGAGCTTTAGCAGACAAGCAGGGTAGAAAGAAAGTAGGATCCATGCGTGGTACAAGGCAGCCTTTTCCATAGTGCCCCAGGACTGGCTTACCGAGTCATTGAGTGCAACGAATTCCTCATCCAGAGTCACAATGCGAAATTTCACTGAAGGCAAGGAAATCAGGGAATATATTTATCAGATGTCAGTTCTTCCCTACAAACCCCTGCTCCATCTGTTTCCCCATCTCCTGTCTCCATTCTAGACACATTTGTGGTACCATGTGACACTAACATTCCCACATGTAAGATATCATGAACATGGTTATCATCCTACTGCCTCCTGCAACTTCAGAGTCATCATAAGTTGGACATTAGAGCCACTGAAAACATCACTCAGCAAGAGACATTGTCTCAAAGCCTTCTGCTAGGACTGTTCATGCATTTCAGGTAATTGCAGGCTTTCCACATGGTGTAACCAGCAGAAAGCTTAGGGCCCACAGTTCCTCCCATTTGCACCTCACCTGTCTGCCCTGGCTGATAGATGGGCTTGTCTGTTTGGATGATGGTGCCACTCCTGGTCTTGCAGATCAGGACCTTTTTCTTCTCCTCAATATTGACCCCTTCGCCTGTGATGGTCAGTTTGACAGTGGCAATTTCCTCTGTGCCATCAGCTGGAGGTACAACCTATACAGACAAGGAGAGAAGAGCACACAGGCACTGAGTAATCTTCTGGGGGCCCTGAGCAGGAACTGAGAGTAAAGAAGAAGAACTAACCAGTTCCTTCCAGCTGTCCCAGGACACTTCTTCCAATCTCTGGATCCAGATCACATCCAGATCTCAGTCCTACATGACAGTAGGAGGCCCTGCATGTCATGGAATCTGTCCTTTTTTCCCACTGGTGACAAGCAGGTGCCTGACACCTCTGAGTCTTCAAACTTGCTCAGCAAGATGGGCAGATGACAGAAAGGTGGGAGATGGTAACAGAACCAAAAGAGAAAGATTGAGGTGTAGCACAGCCTCAAATACTAGGCCTTCAGAACTACCCAGCACGCACAAGTAAGAAATCCAGATCAGGAAACACAACTAGAGAGTCTCCCTGACTCTGGCAGCCAAAGACTCCAGTAGCCTCAGCACAGAGTATACAGTATAATAGAAGGGATACTCTTCAGATGTCTGCCTTATCCTAGATCTTTGCTAACTTCTCACCAAAATTAAATAACATCTAAGATGTTGTTTAAAAACAATAAGCACATCCATTTCCATCCAACTAGTCTTCAGTAGCTCCCAAGAGCTCAGTTGCTGCCTGACTTCAGGTACTACAGAAATTGCAGTATGTCATGCACCATTTCCCCAAGCTTTAGCTGCAGACCTGCACAAGTCTTTCAGAGAAGAGCTAAAGCTACTTCATCTGGTCTGTAATGGAAGAGAAGGAAAGAGGTAAGTTCTTCTTATGTATCCAGAACTGTGGTAGATTTTAACAAATGTAAATTCCATTTAAAAATGAGATTCAGAAAGGAAATTCAGTGCTAACCAACAGATACTGTGCTGGGCTATGCATCTCTAGGCACCACCCACTCCTCTTCCTAACCAGCTCACACCAAGACAAAGTAGACCCTATCCACATCACCCCTGGTGACACAAGAGATTTCCTGAAGGGAAAATCAGTAATGGCATTTGCCTAGGGTGGCTCACCCAGAACTTAGTGCACAGGAAGGTCTTCTTCTTCTGGATGGTTTCTTGCATTAAGAGCTCACGTCCTGCAGAGTGCTCCAAGACCAGGTTCACTTGAAGCTTTGCTTCATGACAGGTGATATGGAGGCAGGCAACTTGGGTGGACGGGTAGCGGAGAGCTGCAGGGATTACCACCAAGTAATGTCTGGGTCAGGGGAAGATATCAGAGGTGGCATCAGTTTGAAGGCTCAAGAAATGCAAAAAATCTTCCCTGCTGTGGCCCACTACTGCAGAATTCCTCACCAATGTGCCACGGTGAATGCAGCAAATTGATTGCATCACTAAAACTTGAGAAACAGTTTCTGCTTTCACAGAATATTCTGAGTTGGAAGGGACCCACAAAGATCATCAATTCCAACCCGTAAGTGAATGGCCCATACAGGAATCAAACCCACAACCTTGGTGTCATCAGCACCATGTCTAACCAGCTGAGCTAATCTCAGGATTGACTAGCTTAAGTATAGCCCTATAACCTTTTTCAAACCTCTTACTCCAGTAATGTCCTGAACTCCCAAAAAGCATCCCATGCAGTCTTTAGAAGTCCCTGGGCCTAAGGTCTGACTTGGAAGTCCCCCAAAAAGCTGGCTTGCATTGACATGTAGGAGTTAATCTAAAGCATGAGAGGCAAGGCAAATGACTCAGCTACCCTTTGGGGTGATCTGATAGAGCAGGAAGCACAAGAACTGATAGCATGGGACATGCTCCATCTACCTAGACTGATGCCTTCATGAAAGAGACTGAAACAGGAGTTCGGCATCACTCACAGTTGGTGAAAAGCAGCTGCAGCATGGAACAGAAGGCTCAGGAGGATGGCTATCCTCATCCTGGGGACTCCTGCTGCCCAATGGCTCTCTTCCTGTGAAATCACTGAGACTAATTTGGGGGGGGTGGGTGTAATTTCTTCTAGGACAGCCTAAATGAAGAGGTGGGATGGGGGAGGAGCCAGCCTCTCCCCACCTCTCCCTCTCTCCTGGGACTACGCACAGGCAGTGGTAAGGGATAAGGTGCACTGTGCCAAGTGCCCCTTAGGCAATAGCAGCCACTTTGGCTCTCATTGACAAGTTCAGAACATCCTCTCCTGCAAGGTTGCCATGGAGGCACCTGACCAAACAGATTTCTCATGGTAAAAAA